GGCCAAGATTGCACTGTACAACACTTGACCAATTATCAGCTGTACATGCGTAATCATTAGTAATCACCCATTAATTAGCTATTCGGTCTGATGTAGTGGATTCAACTTCATGCAATAGGAATGTACATTAGACAAACATTAATAACTAGGAATAGTTGACAAAATAACAGCGTGGATTTTCAGGACTGCCTCTCATACCTTACCTGTCACCATAAAGCTGCATAAACGTAAACCATTTGATCAATGGATTGCTCATAGGCATCACTAATTACCCAAAAGCCAAAGTTAGCGCCTTAGTTAGACTAAGGCATGGGGCCTAAGATAAAGATATTGCTTGTGTTCCCTTTACGGACCGATCTCGACAAAGAACGTCGAGGTATCGGACAAATTTTTATTGGGCCGGCATTAAAACAAAACAAAATTATTTCGTTTCGCAAAAAAAAATCAAATTCGTTCCGCAAAAAACAGTATCACGAAAAACAGAAATATACAATATACATACACACATCTGTTCAAGACAAATAAAAAAAAGATTTTCACTAAGGCTTACTATCGGTTACCCTGAGAGGCGAGTTAGGCGTGAGGAGGATGTGGGGGGGGGCATGCAGGGAGTCGGGGGCGTGTGTGGGATGTGGGAGGCATGCAGGGAGTCGGGGGTGTGTGTGGGATGTGGGGGGGCATGCAGGGAGTTGGGGGCGTGAGGGGGATGTGGGGGCATGCAGGGAGTCAAGGGCATGTGGGGGATGTGGGGGCGGGCACGGTGGTTGGGAATGGCTTCGTATGCTTTGAATGAATCGTATACTCATGGCGCTACTTCTTCTTCGTCCGCTCGGCAGCTGCGATGTTCATCGCGAGAAGCTGAGCGTCTACTGCTGGAGCTGCAGAGTCTGCATCTGCCACCAGTGCGCGCTCTGGGGCGGAACGGTGAGTCTTCAAACCCCCTCCCTCCCTTTCCAGCCTCGCTACCGGAGGCTGGGAACGATTCATCGATTCATCGATGTATCGTGATACAAACATCGACGAAACGTGTATTGATACGGTTTACCTCTCGCGATAGATCTATCAACACTCTACTGACTACAGTCCATGTCGTTTAGTAACGTAGTTTCATCTAAAAACAAAATGAAAAGTAACACATTCTATCCATCTGAGCGAGGTAACCACTTGCCCCCTTAATTAAAGTGATTACGTCACTGTAAATAGTAAAAAATATATAAGTAATTCTGTTCACTTTTTGTGGTTAAATTGCTGCATTATTTATACTTCTTATTTTACTATATTGTTCGATGTGAACATACACTCGTGACTCATACATAGCCCATAGCAAGCAATTAATGTTAGGAACACTAATATCAAATCGTCCAGGTTTTTTGGATTTTTAACTAGTTTAGAAACAATCTTATCAGGTAAGAATTTGACGATACGTTTAGTCCCGTTAGTTCTTACTTTTAATGTAAAAAAATGTGACGTAGTCAATTTAATATCGCCACACACATGTTTTTCTTGCGCGTACGCAGACTATGCTACGAAGCGCCGTTGTTTAGAGTATCCCATCACTGTGATTGGTAAGTAAGTAAGTGAAAGTAAGCAAAAACTTTATTTAACACCGGTAAAACATATTAGCTACAGACACAATAAAATGGCGCAGACCTATCTTCCACATGGCCGTCTCACAGCAATAGAACAGTTAAATATTAAATAAATACACAATACAAAAATTGGGTTGACCCGTCTGGCAGTCATGCTAGGCGGACAGGTCGTGAGCGGCAACGCCGCCGAGAAGGTGCGGCGAGCTAGAGGGCGCTACAGGCACATTCGGTTCGCCGTATGCTGGTGCGGGTCGAGGGTCAGGAAGCGCGCATCTGAACGCCGCCTCTGTTTCCTCCTCGTTGCAGCTCCTTGATCCTTGATCTAAACTCTTCTCAGCCATAGTGTTCTCTTTGTATGGTAGGCACTTAATATTGTATAGTTGATTCTAGTAACATTCTAGTAGGTTAAAAACAGTTAAAAAACAGTAGGTGGCGCTATAAAGTATTGGGTGTCAGACATGCTGAGTTTGGGTAATAAACTCCCCCAAAAGTCCAATAATGCCGGGACGGACGGTTTCCAACTTGTCACTTAACTTTACACTTAAAGTGATTACGTCACTGTAAATAGTAAAAATATTTCCACTTTTCCACAAAATATTTAAAGTAATTCTGTTCACTTTTTATGGTTAAATTGCTGCATTATACTTCCTATTTTGCTATATTGTTTGATGTGAACATACACTCGTGACTCGTACATAGCCCATAGCAAGCAATTAATGTCAGGAACATAATAACATAATATCAAATCGTCCAGGTTTTTTGGATTTTTAACTAGTTGAGAAACAATCTTATCTGGTAAGAATTTGACGATACGTTTAGTCCCATTGGTTCTTACTTTTAATGTAAAAAAATGGCAACAAAAATTTTACAAATTTTACCATAGAAAATTTGTGACGTAGTCAATTTAATACTTTACACTTGAGAGCATTTCTTCAGACAAGTTCCATTCACCACAGAGCCTACATACACCCATTCGAAGTCTTTCTCGTTCCTCCTCGTACTTTTTCGTGACTCGTTTCAGCACACGAACCACACGTTCAAGCCCCTCGACGAGGTCTACGAACAGCACATCACGTCGATCAAGGAAGAGGTGGCAGCGCTGAGGCGCCGTCTCATGGAGCTCATTAGTCTAGTCCAAGAAGTGGTGAGCAGCAGGGTGTTAGCCAGGAAAAAAATCAGGGAGTCTGTCTCACCATCTGAGCGAAGCGCCCTAGGGGGGAGGGCCTTACTTTTAAATGGAGGAAATTTAGTCTGAAATGCCAAAAAGACATGAATCTGATATGATTTTATATTCTTATAACAGTAAAAGCACTGTTGTCAGTTATACAAGGTGTATAATATATTAAATTGGGCCGCCCTCATGCCGTCTCTATCAAATTTCATCTGTCTTATGCAAGAATAGGCCGTCCAAAAGATGGGTAGACAGGTCTCTGGCTAACTCACTGCAGGGTTTCTTCTGAGGGAAAATTAGACAAAGGAGGTAATGGCCAGTTTGGGGAAAAAACGCGCATGATGGGTTCAAATACAGGATGTATTGATATACTTATAGGTATATAGATACAGGATATACTTATCAGTAAATACAGGAACATTTTCACAGCGGCGATGTTAAATTTGACAATGGAGGTGCGGCACTGTGCCTCCTATGTATAAGAAACCCTGCACTGGTAAGCATGCCTGCGGCTCGAGTGGAGCATTCTCGGGGGGTTCTTGCTACGCACTTGCAGCCGCACGACTGCGGGTGGTAAATTTCTTCACGAATCTCACCAGCTTTTTCAGCCCAAATTACCCTGTACACCAAATTTAAGCCAATTTGAAGTAGGTGAGGTGTAAATTTCCATTTTTTTGGGGTGATTTGACACGGAATGACCCGTATATAGAGTGAGTGAGTAACGCTTGTCTGTGTGTGTGTGTGTGTGTGTGTTTCACAGGAGAAGAACGTGGAGAGCGTGTATATAGAGTGAGTGAGTAACGCTTGACTGTGTCTGTGTGTATGTTTCACAGGAGAAGAACGTGGAGAGCGTGTATATAGAGTGAGAGAGTAATGCTTGTCTGTGTGTGCGTACGTGTTTGTGTGTGTCTGTGTGTGTGTGTTTCACAGGAGAAGAACGTGGAGAGCGTGTATATAGAGTGAGTGAGTAACGCTTGTCTGTGTGTGCGTGTGTGTGTGTGTTTCACAGGAGAAGAACGTGGAGAGCGTGTATATAGGGTGAGTGAGTAACGTTTGTCTGTGTGTTCGTGTGTGTGTTTCACAGGAGAAGAACGTGGAGAGCGTATATATAGGGTGAGTGAGTAACGCTTGTCTGTGTGTCCGTGTGTGTGTTTCACAGGAGAAGAACGTGGAGAGCGTATATATAGAGTGAGTGAGTAACGCTTGTCTGTGTGTTCGTGTGTGTGTTTCACAGGAGAAGAACGTGGAGAGCGTGTATATAGAGTGAGTGAGTAACGCTTGTCTGTGTGTGTGTGTGTGTGTGTGTGTGTGTGTGTGTTCGTGTGTGTGTTTCACAGGAGAAGAACGTGGAGAGCGTGTATATAGAGTGAGTGAGTAACGCTTGTCTGTGTCTGTGTGTGTGTGTGTCCGTGTGTGTGTGTGTTCGTGTGTGTGTTTCACAGGAGAAGAACGTGGAGAGCGTGTATATAGAGTGAGTGAGTAACGCTTGTCTGTGTGTCTGTGTGTGTGTTTCACAGGAGAAGAACGTGGAGAGCGTGTATATAGAGTGAGTGAGTAACGCTTGTCTGTGTGTGCGTGTG